CTTTTCATTTTCTGATGTAAAGCACTTTGAATTGTCTTGTCAGTGAAATATGTTTTTTTTTTTTTTTATCTTTCCTTGCCTTGTCTATATTGATATTTCTTGCATCAGATTTAAATAAGAACTGATGCCATTTTAATAATACATAGTAAAGTGGAATGAAAACCATACAAATTGCAAGAAAAACAACTCTTATCAGCAACCGTCATGTTTTTGCAAACCTATCTATTAGCAGAGCTGTTTCGTTTGTCCTTGGTTGCTTTATGAGGTTAATGCCGCACTCAGAGAGAACACAATTCTCACTTTGTGATAGAAAGCAATCCCTTGAGATTAACGCTAACTTCAGGAAGCTTCAAAGAAACTTACTGCACACCAACCTGTTAGGTTATTGTTGTTTTTCGCTTAGAGTGAGGTCGGATGATGACCTGAGGATTCATTATCTGTCAGTGGGCATCATGAGTGCTCCATCTCCCATTGGAGTGTTTGTGAAGTTTTAAATGACATCTCCCCACTGCAAGGTCACACTCTCCCAGCACGCTGTCACTTAGTCTAAACAAGCTACTGCTGGAAAAGTACAGCACGCTGTCCTTAAAATGCACTCTCCTTGTGATTTAATAATACACCCTCAAACCTTAATTCACATGAGTGCAGAGAGTTGGTGCAAAGATATTAGTTGGGTTTTCCTGCAGGCCTGATTTAACAAATGCAGCTAGAACACGTAACTCGAAGATGGGAGATAGAAAAGGTACAGCATGACTAAGTTTTTATCGAATGTGGGGGAAAAAATGGGGATCGGGCTCACTCAGGCAGCTACAGTAAAAGTGCTGTATTTATTCTCAAGATAAGCTGTCAGAAACAGGTTTTAAGTTCTGCTATAATCAGGTCTGAGAGCTGGTAAGCTCCCCTTATGGTTTAAAAACCTAAACACAACAATCTATAACAGAATGCATTAGAAAATATCTAGCATATCCTTGAGATGAGTCAGTTCAATATCCTTTTATCTTTTACCGCCTGCCCTCCAGTTTTTTGATAAACCTCTAGTATATACTGTACTGTTCTGTTTTTAATATTTTCTGGTTGTAATCTTGGATGAAGAGAGTAAGGTTGTCAAAGAGAAATAATGGCAATATGTGAAAAGGCACAAGCAATAACTAAAAAACATCCTTCATAACCACCTACCCCATGGCTACTTTGCAAAACTGAGATGTTTGCACACAATCAGAAAGAATAACTTTATTTTCCAGCCTTTAAATATTCTTAATGTAATGATACAAAGAAACTACGTGATCTTTTCAGCTATGATCAAGCATTAGGCACAATTAAGACTACTATTGTACCACTACAGTAAATCTTGCCTAAATCGGCTACTTCCCTGCCATAAACCTGTGGTGAAAATAGTACAAAAATTTTTTTTTAAGAAAATTGGGGGTTTGTAAAGCCATTCCAGAATGACAGTGTATTATAACATAAGTCTGATGTGTTTTTGATAACTTTTCTTGGCTTGTCTTGATGTTTTTAGAAGAGTTAAAGAATCTTCCTTTAGTCAAAGAGGAAGTTCATTCAATTCAGTTTGTACAGTTGTTGAATATTAATCCCAGTATAAAATAATAAACAACTCAAAGCATTGTTGCCATATGCAGCTCAATCTTTGTCTCCCCTGTCAATAAACTATTTGCAGCAGAAGGAACTTGGCCTATTCATGTTGGTAGATTTACATTTTGAATAAAACGAGATGGTATCCAGTCAATGCATGGCAATGTAAAACTCAGAGTGAGAGGGATGTTCCTGGCTTGTTCTTCAGTATCCTTACCGATTTCCTATGAACTGAGACAACAGTTTCGAGACCGATTATTTTAGAATCTACTGTTTTAAAAAAAAATACTTTTCCCCACTTCTTTCAATCTACAAATCCTTTTTTTAGATATTCAGTGTTACTTGGACTTTCCTGTTGCTCTGAGTAATAGAGAACTCAATAAATGCTGCAAAACAGTTACTTTATATGCCTGCTAAGAGCAAACTATCAGTTGGAGACAGACATGGTCACTGCAGAGAAGTTCAATGGTTTTAGCTTGTTTGGTCAAAGAGAATTCGATATCTTTTAAGATTTTTTTTATTAGACTCTAGTGGCCTTTATTTTGTTATTTTTTGAAAGTTTGAAGACAGGAAAGTGGGTTGCATGAGACATTCGGCAAAGGTCAGTAGGTTGGGACTAGAGCCTGTGACAACTGGTATGTGGCTAATGCGCTTTACACACCACAGCAACACTCAAAAACTTTTAATAATAATAAGATTTTAATGATTGGATGCACATTTAGTATTTTTATGTAAAACTTGGACTCTGGATGAGTTAGAGAAAGCTGTTGTCCAATTAAAGTCTAATCAACTAAACCAGTATTTCTGTATAACCAATTCTCATAGTTTAAATATATCTCGAGTGCCTTTCTAAGGCAGCCCTGAACCAAAAGGTTCATATTACTCAATAAAAACTTAACAATATATGGCATAAATGCCAATGATAAGTGCTTACAAAGCTGCTCAGGGCTATATAAGTGTACTTATTCAGTCAATTAAAATAACTACTTTAATACCATACCAAGTGCTATGCTTTGGTTGCCACTTTTGAAATTAAAAAACTAAACAAAGACGCTGCAGGACTAACTGTCCTGGATTTATTCTTTCTCAATTCTAGAATGAAAATACATAATTTACAGAAGAAAACATTGTGTAAAATCTAAAAGCAAAGATTTGATGTCAGAAGCCCTTTAAGAGCTTTAAGAACTAATAGCAGTAATAATATAGATTAGTACAAATCCCCAGAGATGCTTTTTTTTTTCTTAATGGCTAAACATATCAGGTGAATTTAGGACTTTTATCAGACAGCGCATGGTTGAGAACCTTAAAAAAAAACTACAGCAGAATTGTTATCTACAAGAAACACAGCAAGGTTAACAGAAATCGGGATATCCTGAAGACCTGTTGTACTTTTTGGAAACAAAATTCTAATGGGATCTTCCTTTTAAACCTTATTATTATTTTAAAAATTTTCATGAAAATTAATTCATATTTTTTTCCTTCCTTCCATATAGGTCCAAGATGGATGGATGGATAGAAGGAAGGAAGGAAGGAAGGAAGGAAGGAAGGAAGGAAGGAAGGAAGGAAGGAAGGAAGGAAGGAAGGAAGGAAGGAAGGAAGGAAGGAAGGAAGGAAGGAAGGAAGGAAGGAAGGAAGGAAGGAAGGAAGGAAGGAAGGAAACACAAGAAATAATGGAACAAAAAAGAATACACAAAAGGATAAGAACTGAAATAAAAAAATAAAAAAAAAAAAAGTTTTTCTAAAATTTTTTTCTTTTCTCAGAACTGGAAAACACTTAAATCACATTTCAGACATTTTAGGATTGTGTGAGAGGGTTTATCTAATTGCTGCCTGAAGGGACCCGATACTTTTATTTAAAAAAAAAGGATTCTAACTTCTGGTAGAGATAAGTAGCCAGTGTTCTTCACCCTGGTAAATAGGTAAAAACTGCAGCATTTTATGATATCCAGCAGTGAGAAGTACCCCACATCACAGTATATTCCTATAGCTGCTGTACTGAATTCATGACAGAAGAGGGCAGAGTAAGGCCATTGAGAAAAACACTGAAAGTAGTTGTTTGATTATAATAACCTCCAACTGTATTCATGTGGAAAGCTTTACTTAGTTTCATATTATATGATTTCTGTGAGAGAAAACTGAAATCTAGTCACTGGAACCACCAGAGGAAGTCTGTTTCTAAAACCTGATATGCTTTTCTTTTTGTGGCTCACTGACCTGTGGCTAAAAGCAGGGGTTTTATCATCAAGTCCAAGAAATATCTTGAGATCTCATTTTAGATTGGCTTCCTTTTATAGGAGGCCAAAGTTCACCGTCAGAGTGCATGCTGACATTTATAAAGCCGGGGAGACACAATGGAGAGAGGAAAAGGGCACAAAATAATCTGTGAAAAGAGCCATTTGGTGGAAAGTGGACTTTATTCTCTGAATCACTGCAATCAATCCATACTGCTACCATCAGCATGTCAGTATCTAGCTGTTTGGGGTTTTCAGACAGATTGTGTCTATGTCCATCCCTCTGGTTTCTAAATTATGCTTGAGACAAAACCAGCATCATTCTGTAGTACTAAGTAGTTAGTAGTCATTTCTTGGTACTAAAACATCAGCCCAGTAACTGCAATGATAACATCTGCTACATCCAAGACACTCTGGCTTTTTGCCATTTCATAAGTAGATTTCTGATGAATTTGCCTTGCAGTGACTTTGATTAAAATAAATGAGAAAATCCATTTGCTATGGCCCTCCTGCTCCTCCCCCCAACTGAGTCTACATCCTAACGAGTAGCGAGAAGCAGCATTGAGCTTTTATCACTATTCTCTGCAGCACCTTCTTTACTGAAGTGTGTCTATCCTATTTTCTAAGATAAATAATGATAGTTTATTAAAAAACGAATGATTTCGACTGGTGTCTGTGACAGACAAACCAAACCAGGGACCACTGAGAAGGCTGGGTAAATAAGAAGAGAATAAAGTGGGTATAGATGAAGGATTCATGCAGAGATGAGCAACAGCCTTTTTCATAGTTAGGCAAAGTGAGAGCGGCTCAGGTTTTTATAAGAAAAGTATTTTTTATGCAATCATTGTGGAGCTGTGCTTGCTCTATTTAGCATGAACCATTTTCATAAATCCTGCTATAAAAGTAAAATTATGCTGCTTTTATGACAATCTATAGCCTGTGGATATGATCCTGTTTTTTTTTTTACCTGCCTAAGTCTTTTCCTTGGCACCTACAGATCAAATTGTTCTAAATTAAAACCTAACTTCTCATAATGCATTATTCCTAGAGCACAGTAATTTCTCTGTAATTTTAATCCATGAGGCGTCTGCAGAGCCCATATCTTTAAATAAAAAAAATATATAACACCAGTTTAAACACAGTTGATTAAAGTTCAGAAGACAGAGGGCAGCAGAGAGCCACGTGTTTGCAGAGTTCAATTTAATGGGTTAAAATGCTTTTATGATGTTTCCACCTGGTCCAAACCAAGAGTCCGGAGGACATCTATAATGGAAGTTGTTTGAAATATGAGGAACATGAGATTTATGGGGGGAAAAAAGATATAACATGAAGAGGCTGTCTTCATTAGAAAAGCAACATTCAATGAAAGCACCTCATGCCTTTATTGACAAAATGAAACAGCCATATTTACAATGCAGGTAAAGTCAACAATAAAAGAGGATGTTCTGTTGCTGTTATGTTACTTTATTTGACATGAGAAATGATGCAAAAGTTAATATCAACTCGGTTTTTCCTTTAACCTTGCTAAACCCAAAGATGCTGTCTTATGTTTACAATTATTACTCAGCCTCTGTGGGTATTTCTCTAGCCACCAATCCAAACCTCTGCTTCTATCTGATAACATCTATTTAGGGACTCCTTAACTCTGTGTGTCACCCGTGACTTTAAATATGCATAGTCTCGTGTGAGTCACTGTCAGTTGTGTGGGCCAGAAAAAATAAATATGAAACATGCTGAGGTGTTTCCTGGGTCGAAAGTGTTGTGTGTTTCTGTGGTGTGAGTCATTATGCCATCAACAGGGAGATGCTGCATAAGTCAGTCTCCTCGTCCTCCCACTCTGTCTCTGGGAATGAGACGAAGCTCCGAGCCGTGCTTTAGAAACACATTCCCTGCAACAAAAAAGGGAAAGCTGTGAGGATCACAGTCTTTTATAAAGTCCCTAAAACAAACAGGAACATGTCAATCTTTTGTAAACTATACTACATTTTCATTTACACTTTAATTTTTTTATTGTAATAAGACAATATAGTTGAGACCTATACATTTCTTTCCAAATATTTACCCCAGTGGGGTATAGACAACTTAGTTGAATTCAAAATATTCATGTTAATTACATACAGGTCCCAGAAAATCTTGAACTTTTTCAGATGTCACCACATGACAACTTTCGATGCAATGGACTTATATGATGCTTTATGTGGATATACAGTCAGGGCAACAATTATAAGCAACCTTTGTTCTCTTCAATTTATTATTCTAAGGGTATGTTACCTGAAAAACACAATGGACACAACAAAAAAACAAAAACAAACGAGTAGTTTTTTTCCATGATTCTTCATTCAGTCAAATGTTTTTATAAGCCAACTTTCATTGCAAATATTTTTGTGGTATGCGTTTACCAACTTTGCACATCTAAAGAAAAAGATTGTATCCCATTATTGATTGGAACATAGGTCAAGCCAGGTCAAATGCGTGAGTGAGAGTAAGAATGGAGACAAAGAACTTTAGACATAAATCCTCAACGACATTTAGGTCTGGTCTGTCCAAGTTATAAGCAGTAATAATACATATGGTGGACTAAAAACTATATGTTAGGTTATCCTTAACAAGGGGTTACCCAACACTTCAGCCTGACATTTACCAGTAGTAATGGAGACTAGCATCACCATCATAGGGGGAAAAGTCGAAAAAAACAAAAACATGTCTTGGATTTTAAATAGATTTTTCTGTTAAATATAGCTTTGAAATACTTAAAATTTATATTAAATGAGGCAAAAACATTCAAAATAATAATTACAATGTGGTACATCTCATGGTGCAGTTATTAATTTTATTAGATATTAACATTTATCTGTTTTGTATCCTCTTTGATGCTTTTGGCCTCCATACACTTCAGGGGTCACATTTTGATGAGTAGACCAACCAGAGTGCCAACAACCCTCACTTTTGGAACTGCTGCACTAATCCATATCATTACAGCTTCAGTTTTTGTTATTTTTTATAGCTGCTGTCCTGCTTCTCTTTTTGACCACAGTATTTTTTTTTATACGAACTGTGGTAAAATTGTAAACTGAAAGTCTTATGACTTTAATTTTTTTTCACAAAGACAAGAGGGACAGATTCTCCCAGGTGGGAAAGCAGATCTCTGCAGCTCATCATCAACCTGACCAGTCTACTGAGCTGCTTGGTCTTGGCGAGGTTGTTTGCTCACTTTATAAGAGATTAAAATCCCTCCCACAGCTTCTATTTAATCTTTAGCAGAGGACTTCTAAATATATTGGATTTTCTTATGAGCTACCACTTTAACAGAGAATAAATACGGTAAATAAATGCCTGACTATAGAATAGGATCTGTGAACATTTGTTCGAAATCTAAACGTATAATTTTATCCTGACTTGTCAATCTTGAACTAAATCCCATTAAAACACATTAAAGATGTTGTAACATGATATAATATAAATACATTTTAAATATAAATACCTTTGCCAAGCACTGTACACCACAAATCATAATATAGACTGAATTACTATGAGAAACCAACAAGAAAACTAATTCAATAATTCCATCTATTAACATCATCGATGAAACCGTACATCTAAACAGACAGTGCGGTGAAAAATGCAGACATTTTGCACATGCACATTTCCCCACTGATCCAACCCTAATGTGAGACCTCTTGCTATGCCTCAGAGAAGCAGCCGAGTGCAGATATGCGAGGCTGATATGAGATAAGCGTGTGAGAAACAGAGGCTAAAATTACATTCGATCAATTTCAGCTGTGTACTCAGTTGTGCGAACAAGAAGCAAAGCGGCTGCGGAGGTGAAAAAAGTCAATGTGACAAAGGTGTCTGAACTGATGCTATTCTTGGCAGTGCACTTAAGAGTGTAGTGTGGATAAAAAGCTGTTGTGAAAGCCCAGCACACCATACCTTTTTTGTTACTAACAGATCAGACATTCTGCCTCAGGTGGAAGCAGTTATCTCATCCTGCTCTATGCAGAAAACCCAGTCATGTGTAAGGACTGTTTGATAAGAATGATTATTTGAAGAAGGAGGATGAACCTATGGGAAACACCTTGGAGGCTGAGACAGAGCATATGATTCATTTGGGTATAACAATAGTATATGAAGCTCAAGTGAATTTAAACTAAACGGATTGAAACCTATACTCCTGTGACAGAGATACGTCTACGCAAATTACATTTAAATTCTACTGGGTACCCTCCTTTAAGATCACGAGTCACCATACATGTTTCTACTTTTCAAGGCAGGTTTAACTGAAACATGAAAGACTTAATTTTTAAGCAAACAGAAGCTTATTTTACAGAGTTATGAAACAAAATGCATTATTTCCTTTAGAAAAGAACATATTTCTGCAGAGATGTATGAGGTAACCTCCTCCTGATGGGCCACATATTTTCAGTGAAAGATGTATTGTGAGTGGAGGAAGGCCAATACTGGAGCCACCATCTATAAAACTGTTATTTTGAAAGATTGAAGTCTCCCATTGTACTGATGGATCTCTGTAGGGAAGATGTCACCTTCATAGCAGCAAGGCAGCTCACATTTAACCCATTTCTGACTTGAGTATTTATCAACTCAGACTGTAGCTTCTCACAAATATGAAGCACTGTTGATGTAGATTTAACTTAGAGCATTTTTGCCTCAAACGATTTGATCTGAGAGTTTGGTGCAAAGCAGTGAGATGCGAAGCAGAGAACAGAATGAGTTTAAATGAAAGCATAATGACTGCCTTTCAGGATAACGGAGTATACAGGAAAAAAAAACAAGTCTGTTTTGTGTCAGGCTGAGCAGGAGCTTGTCAACTCTTCCAGCAATCTGAGAATATTTTAAAATGAACCATCTGAGCAGTCCATCCCCCACTGCAAAGTCTTCATCAGCAGCAAGTATAGGTGCAACAGAAAGCAGTCAGATCTTTCCTTTTTTTTTTTTTTTGTAGACAAAACAATCATAAGAGAAAAAGTTCTGGCCATTCACAACTGTTTAGCTCTTTCATTTTTTGTTTTATTAAGACCAGACACATCGATTTGTTTATTTATTTTATATATCAGCATTTTTTATGTATCATCCAATACAATAATATTTTCCCCAATTTATTAGTGCATTCAGCTGTGCATGCCTTGAGAAAAATAATAGAAAAATGTTGGTAAGTAGAGCTTCTAATGTGAAACAAAAAGAAAAAAATGAGGGAAAAGCTTCTAAAACATGTGATGGATTTTCAACTTGAATTTAGTGTGCTTTTATTTAAACAGAAAAAAAAAACAGAAAAAAACAATTTGTCTGCAATAAAATTTTCTTTAAAGCGAACTTGGAGTGATGTTAAACCAGATCCAACCTCAAGGAAACCTTTAGTAATGCGCATATTTCTTTGTGTGACCACAAAATGTGCTTAGCAATCCAATCGCGCTTCAAGGGTGATAAAAAGAAACATTTAAAAAATAATGAACCTGGCCTGGTCTTAAATGATGGAACACTTAGAAAGACTGAAAATAATGTGACCAAAAAGACATGTTACATGATTGAGTGTCTCCAACATGACTTCAGACAAATTATAAAAAGGAATAATTTTGGCCTTAAACAATGTATCTTGTGACTCTTCATCAAGACCAATTTTGTTCGATTCCACAAGCAGTAGGTGTCCTAATGACCGATTATCTGAGCGGTGGATCTCTGCAGGTCATTCAGTGCTACTATGGAGTTATTTGCTGCTTCTCTGATTAATGCTAATCATGCTGGAATTACATTTACATATCCTCCTCCCCTAAATGTCAGTGTTTTAATTATTGGCAAATGTTTTTAAATATTCATCAAGACAAAAACAAAGCTTAAACTTTACACCAACAGTTTAGCTTCTTTTAGAAATGCAACTACCGTATTTTCACGACCATAAGGCGCTCCGTACTAAAAGGCGCAGTCTCAGTTATGTGTCCCATTTCTGTATTTAACACACACATAAGGCGCACCGGACTATAGGGCACGTATTTTATATACAGGTACATGTCCTCTACTACCTTTAAATACCTCTACTGCGTATTTAAAAATACAGCGGGGGCAAAACTGAGTATGACTGTGCTTTATTCATGTATTTATTACAAACTATTAATCAAACCTGGGAGCTGGCCGTGAGACAGACACATCGCAGATGACACAGCGCTGCGATCACTCCTAAATTAACTTAAAATCCTGAAACCTGCCGACGGACTGTGTTCGCTTTTATGGGTGCCTGCAGTTTAAATTATTTAGATGAAAAACACCTGCCATCCACCGCGTGAACCCGGAGGCTGCCCAGCCTAGAGGCTGCTGATGAAAGGATTTCTCCTGTCGGCGCACCGCTGGTACAGTTGTGTTCGAAATAATAGCAGTGCCTTTAGAAAAGTGAGTAAATGTCAAAATTCTTCAAAGAAATTGTACTTTAATGAACACAGATACATTGGGGACACAGTACATTCTATTCCAAAGCAAAACAATTGCGCAAAGTCATCAAAACTTAAATAATAATAATAATATTTCAAATAAAGTAAGAAATGGCATGTTCAAAAGAATAGCAGTGTTGCCATCTTTCCTTGGAAACTCAAAAATGTACTGTACAAACAAAGAAATTCTTGATAAGTGAACCTAGCTGAGTATCCTAAACTAATATTTTGTTGCAAAACCACGGTTTCTGATGACTGCTTCACATCTGTGGTGCATGGAGTCAACCAACTTCTGGCATCGTTCCACAGGTATTGCAGCCCAGGATAATTGCACTGTATTCCACAATTCCTCAGCGTTTCTTGGTTTTGCCTCATGCACTGCACTTTTTATGTCAGCCCACAAGTTTTCAATGGGATTAAGGTCCGGGGATTGTGCTGGCCACTCCATCAGTTGAATCTTGTTCATCTGGAACCATGCTTTTGCTCGCTTGCTGGTGTGTTTGGGGTCATTATCCTGTTGAAAGGTCCACCTCAAAGGCATTTCCTCCTCAGCATATGGCAGCATGACCTCTTCCAGGATCCTGATGTACTGGAACTGATCCATGATCCCTTGTATGCGGTGAATCGGACCAACACCATAGTATGAAAAACATCCCCATATCATGATGCTTGCACCACCATGCTTAATGGTCTTCAGTGAGTACTGTGGCTTGAATTCTGTGTTTGCAGGGCGTCTGACATACTGCCTGTGACCCTTAGACCCAAAAAGAACAATCTTGCTTTCATCTGTCCACAAGATATTATGCCATTTCTTTTCAGGCCAGTCAATGTGCTCTTTGGCAAATTGTAAACGCTTCTGCACATGTCTTTTTCTCAGCAGTGGGACTTTGCGGGGGCTTCTTGCTGGAAGGTTAACCTCAGTAAGACGTCTTCTGATTGTCACAGTACTCACTGTCAACTGAAGGTCTTGCTTGATCCTCTTGGATCCCATCATTGGCTGAGTCTTCGCCAGTTTGGCTATTCTTCTGTCCATTCGAGGGGTTGTCTTTCTTTTTCTTCCTCGTTTTTCAGTTTTTTTTTTATTTTCTGCACCTCTTTGTATGTTTTCCCTTCTTTAATCAATTTTTTTATTAGGAAACGCTCATCTTCAGAACAGTGTCTTGAACGACCCATTTTCCTTGTTTTTTCAGGACAAATGCACAGCCAGCATGCCAGTTGTCTTGATCCTTAAATACGGATCACCTGTTAACACCCTTTTTTCCCAGAAAACCCTCCCTAATTGATGCCCTCTCTAATTGAACTCACCACTGCTATTTTTTTGAACACACCCTTTTCAGTTAATCATTCAATTTCACAGAATCCACAGTATGCATGGCTGTCCTGTTGGGTTTGTTGGTTTTCTATACCTTTATTTTACCCCCCAGAAACTTATCTGGGGTATAGAGTTTGAAATGTTAATAAAACAAGTGATTTTCTTGCTGCTGTTGAGGCACTGCTATTATTTCGAACACAACTGTATGTGGGGGTCTGAGCGCCTCCGACAGAAATAGATAATCTGGATGAACTGACTGCAATTATTAAGTTTTCAGGTGGACTTTCTCACTTAAAAACATATTAAAACTACTTTATTCCCACTGATCACAGCAAATAGAGCTGCAAGATTTAGATTATTTAGATGAAAAAACACCTGCCAGCCACCGCGGTGAAGAGGAGGAGACCCGCCCAGAGGCTGCTGTTGAATTAAGTTTTCAGGTAGAAAAATAGAGCGGGAGCAAAACTGAGTATGTTTGTGCTTTATTCATGTATTTATTACAAAGTATTAATCAAACCCATCAAAGTCATCATCCTCTGTTTCTGAATAAAACAGCTGCGCTAAATCAGACATGCCCATTTCCCATTTTTCGCTGGCAGAGTCACTTTCCGTGCAGCGCAGCTCCTCAGAAATAATGCCGGCTTTTGCAAAAGCTTGAACAACAGAGCCAGCAGACACGTTAGTCCCAGCATCAACAATCCATCCGCAAATTGTGGCGTAACTTGCCCGGCGCTGCCTTCCACTTATCCTGAAACTGTGGTCTCCGTCGGTCATCCATCGCTCCCACGCCGCTCGCAGCCTTACTTTGAACGGCCGCTTCACACCGATGTCGAGCGGTTGAAGCTCCTTTGTCAGACCCCCGGGATAACGGCGAGCACAGTATCCATTTCATTCACCTTTTTTTTCACATCGGCTGTGAGATGGGCACGCAGCGATGGTGATGCGTGGAAAAAAGCACCTGGTCTCCTCACATACCCCTGCCTTTCATCATCTCCTCATCCATCCAGCCTTTTTCATTTGCGTTAATGTCATCAGAGCGCTGTGTCTGTCTCGCTGTCAGCTCCCAGATCAGCTTCTCTGATTGGTTGATGCGGCGCGTCCAGCAGCAAAACTTCAATTTTTCCATCTCGAGCAGCAGCAGCGCGTTGGCAGATGCTTGAACGCTCCTGCTGCTCAAAACGCGCTGCAGGACCTTTTGCTGCACCTATACGCGCGTCAACCATTGACTTTGCATGTAAACTCGCTGCTTCTGCTGCACCTGCTGGGTCCGGTTCACGCCGATGTCGAGCGGTTGAACAGCGAGCACAGGGTTAATTTGTTTCCCCATGTTTTTCACATCAGCTGTGAGATGGGCACGCATGGAGTTACATATTAACAGCGATGGTGATGAGTGGAAAAAAAAAACACCTGGTCTCCTTACATTCAGCCACTCTTTCATCATCTCCTCAATGAGGTGGTCTCAAAAGTCGCAGTTACAACACACATAGGGCGCACCGCACCATAGGGCGCACTGCACATTTTGAGGGAAAAAAAAGACGTTTAAGTTCGCCTTATAGTCGTGAAAATACGGTAATTGTGCACCAGGCTAGTAGATCAGCTTTAAGCATACCATTAGGTTTGCAGGACTTTATAAACGTAATCCTTCAGATCAGACCTATACTGTAAATTCATCATTATCAATACTCCTTATTTTGTAAACTCTTTAAAACGTCTGAGAATTTTTTTGCTTTGGTTCATAAATTAAAATTTGAAAAAAATAAAACCCAAACATTTTATTTCCACTAGAAGATAAATGAAAAGAAAAAAAAAAAAAAAGAAAACAAGAAAATGTTGGTAATTAGAGCTTTTCATTGGAAACTAATTAAGAAAAAAAGGGGGAGCACCAACACCATGGAAATTCAACTTGAGTTTAGTTGTTTATTTAAACATAAAACAGAATTTGTCTGTTATAAACCTTCTTTAACACCAACTTCGGGTAATATTAGGCCAGAGCCAAAAACAATGAAGCCTTTAGCAAAACCCTTTTTTCTTTGTCTAACCACAGAAAGAGCTTGTTAATTTTTCTCCCCTCTATTAATGTGTTTGTGAGCAAATACCCATTAAAAGTTTTTCATCATCACTGTAATTTCCCCAAAAAGATTAAACAAAAAGCCCAGGAAGTTATTGGGCTTACAAAAACTATTGATTTAGAAAGCTCATAATTCATCACAGAGCTTTTAAATGTGAAACAATAAAAACCTATATCTGCTATGTGTTTTGTTTTATCAGAAGAAAAAAAATAGCTTTTCGAAGATCTGAAGCAAGAGGAAGAAAACAACATCATAGCTCACCTGCAGTCTGGGCAGGGTTGATTCCTATTCCATCTGCAAAGAAACACATAATGTAAGCAATGGCAATTGTCATGCAAATAACCTGCATCAGAGTGAGAGTGTGACTCAGCAACAGGCAATTCATATGTGGACTAATAAAGGCCAAAACATCCATACTGATCAAACTAAATCTGATGTTTGTTGCATCAGTCATATTGAAGCCATTTCAATGCAAATATCGCACCTCGTTGTTATTTGGACACATAGAACGACCTGAAATGCACAAACTGCAATTTTCTAGTCCAATTTAGATTTCTGATGAGCCAAAACTCAATTATGGCCACCATCAATTGTTCCCTACAAACTACACTGACAGCAAACATTTCCCAGTCAATTTAACTTTCAATTAAAAATGAAACAGATTCCTGACAAACATTTGTTTTCAATTTTTGATTGCAGCAGCACAAGGAAACAAAGCTCATTTTATTTTCACAGAAAATCTTCAAAAATATAATCCAATCAACTGTGCAGAAAGATTTTTAATTCTCAAAGTTTTAAAACAAACTAGCCATGCGTTCAGCAGAGATTTCTACTACATAAAACAAAAGGCAAGGTTTAATATTCTCTGGCACCTCATTAAAATACTTTATGCATAACTAGGGCTTGACAATTAATTGCATTTGCTATATAATTGCAATTTAACAAAAACACAATTTTCAAATCCTAGAGGTGCTCATTTTAAGTCACATTACATTTATCAAGAGTAAGACACTGAATTTATCACTCCAGCACTTTGGGCGGCAGAAATACGATTAAACTGGGTTTGCTGCCACACAGAGAGGTGACGAGAGTTGCAGCTAGCATAGCATGCAGACCCAGGCATGAAAGTAGAAGTAAAAACTTTTTCATACAAAGTTAGATAAGTTAAACATCTGCATGCTATTGGTTAGTTCACCATCGCACTATTGGTTCAAAAATAATCAAGTGGGAATGCTTAAGCATTCCCACTTATTGTTTTTCTGTTTTTCTTTATTATCAATTATTGTTTCTGTTTTTCTTTATTATCAATTATTGTTTTTCACTTTTAATTTTTCTGACTCTAACTAGTCCCGCAGTTTTCAACTGATTTCAACAATTTTGGTATCAAAACGTTCAGCTTGTTCAGGAGAATTCTGCTATGTCTTTTGGTAAAGATATTTTTTGTAGTTTTCGCGATATTCAGCTTTTTCTGCATTTTTTTTTTTGTCCCATTGAAATGCATGTAGAATTCTTAGATTTCAGCATAATTCAGCTAAACCTTCATCATCTTTGACCTTTAACTACTTCAGCATACTTTCAGCTAGAAACACCATTCAACTTTTAAAATGTTTCCGTATCTTTCTGCTATTACCGTTTAACTCGGCTTTCTGCTAACTTTTACAATTTTGCTTCAGTGAAGCTTCAAACTTTAAAAGAAAATTTTAAGATTTTCAGATTTATAATGGAAGTCTATGGACGGAATTCTTCAACTGCTAGAGTGCGTGCTCTAGCTTTTGAGCTGTTCTGGTTTTTCCGAACAAATTCTTCTCACTCCCTCATTTTTAACTCAATTGAAATAAATTATACATCAAAACGTAGGGATTTTTGTCAGGATTCAGGAAATGTAACCCTCATCTGTGTGGCATTTACGGTTTTCCGACAGTTTGGCCCAGACCACGAAGAGGTCCACACTTCTCCAATAGAAATCCAATGAGAGGTCTCTGAAAATCCGAACTGAAAATTAAAAAAAAACAGACTTTTTCGTATCGCTCCCATTCGGGATCCGTTTGACGTAGCAACACGAGCCTTGTGCAAGTTGTTCCTCAGACCTTCCTAGCACTCACATTGAAGGAAGTGTGTCGATATCTTTTTTTCGTTTAGCTAGGAAAAAGGTTTGTTCGGGGGTAACAAATCTGTCCGAACCCCAAAATCAAGATTTTGACAATTATACACTTTTTTACATCGTCACCACGCCTAGACAAAATATTGTAGAAATATGAAAGTTACACCAGTTGTAGTCCAAAGATGGCTGATGCTCACGGTGAAAGAATTTTTTGAATACCTAATACGGTTTTGGCTCACCGCTCGTTTGTTCGGAGGGAAAGTTTTGCTTTTGAGAGTTCTGCTCTACCATTGTGCTGCATGTTTTTCAATGAGACCAGCAGGATTTCTTAAACCTTTTTATTCCTCCTTCCCATTAAGGCTGTGAATGAGCTACAGCCATGAAAGTTACCCCAATTGGAGACAAAGGATAGCTCTCGCTTAGACTGAAAGAATTTTTTAGATACCATTTACGGTTTGTCTTCAGCACTTGTTTGTT